GCAGGAAGGGCCTCTGCCCTGCCCTTCTGCCTCTCCCCATGGGGCTAAGGAAACCTGTCCCTCCTGCCTGCCCTCTAGACCATTCTCTGCCCCAACGGCCCCAGGCCCTCCCCAGGTCTGTCCTGAGGGCAGCCAGCACCACCCAGGTGCAGCCCAGGCTGGTCTCGAACTCCTGGTCTCAAGTGATCCTTGCACCTTGCCTTCCAAAGTGCTGGGATTACAGGTGTGAGCCACTGTGCCCATAGAATATCTTTAATTTAACAGTTTATGACCTTAACACACAGGATATGTGGGCCCTACACATATTTTTGCCCAAAGGCCCCATAAGTTAGGGCTGGGATTTTTGTGTGTGTGTTTTTTTTTTTTTTGCATTTCTGTCTCCCTAGCACCTAAAACAGCACCTAGCATAGAACTCGTGCTCATTAAATAGTTGTTCAACAAGTGAATAAAAGCCCCAGGGTGGTGGCCATATATTTAAGGGGACCCCAGAAGTGGCTGGGAATGCTGTGGCTTTTCTGTGTCTGGGTCACAGAGGCTCAGGATGGAGGGGGGGCCCCTTCTGCCCTGGGGAGGGCTGTAAGTAACACCTGAAGGCGTCCCTACCGCCTGCCTGCCAGGACCCACCTGAGCTGGAGGGTTTTATTCTAATAGTACAAAGAGCCCGTACTTGGGAATCAAAGAGACCTAGATCCCAAAACTGTCTCTGTTGCTTCCTGGCTATATATAGCCATTAATCTGACTCTCAATGTGCTTTAAAAAGAGAACCATACTGTAATCCTAGCACTCTGGGAGGCTGAGGCGGGCGGATTGCTCAAGGTCAGGAGTTTGAAACCAGCCTGAGCGAGACCCCATCTCTACTATAAATAGAAAGAAATTAATTAGCTAACTAATATATATAGAAAAAATTAGCCAGGCATGCCACGCATGCCTGTAGTCCCAGCTACTTGGGAGGCTGAGGCAGGAGGATCGATTGAGTCCAGGAGTTTGAGGTTGCTGTGAGCTAGGCTGACGCCACGGCACTCTAGCCTGAGCAACAAAGTGAGACTCTGTCTCAAAAAAAAAAAAAAGGGAGAGAACCATAAAACTCTCCCCCCATGGTGGTGACCGCCTCCATGTATGTGACAGGCGTGGCCAGTCATAGTGCAATAAACATTTGATGGCTGCTACTGCTGCCACCATCACCATGGTTCCTTACAGGGCACGTGGCAGCTAGTGCGACTGTCCCATCCCTGGAGGCGCGACTGACGGTAGCTGCAGTTCGGGTGAATGGCGCCCTCTGCTGGACCTTTGGGGAAACCGCAACCACCCTGACCAAGGATGCTCGCAGAAGTCTGGGAATCTCCAGAAATTCCTCGTGCGGGGCAGTGCAGTCTCCGCCCAGGGTGTGAATGTGCAGGCAAAGGAGCCATAGCTGGCCCTGCCAGCCCTCAGCCACCACAATCGCAGTAATGACAACCATAATGCTTGTAGTGCTTGTAGACAGGCACACCCTTCTGAGCACGTTCCATATTGCTCCCATATTTTACAGAGAAGACTGAGGCACAGAGAGTTTAAGTGACTTGTCCAAGGCCTCATGCCTGGAAGTGCCAGGACTTGAACTTGTGCCCTGCCCCACGCCTCCTTGCTGGATTATTTTGGTGGGAGGCAGGAGATAGGTTCTGCCTTAGTCTGAAGGGAGTTGGCCCCGTGGAATTTCCCAGTGAACCTGGCACTGCACACACGGTGTGGGCTGTGACAGGGGCTTCCCAGGGTGACAGCCCCCACCCTTTCAATGGCAGGCTCACTGCCCAGCTGAACTCAGGGCCCCTCCCTGGCCGGCCACTCCCTAGCAGTTCCCTGGCTGGGCTTCCTCCCTGTGTCCCTTTGGGGGCCTGGGGTGGGCGAGGAGATCCATGTCTGGTACCAAGCCTGGCACAGGGGCTGGGAATTCAGGGCCTCCGCTCCTCACCTACCTTCCAGGAGTGAGAAGGACCCAAGCTCCTTAGGCCTCGTGAAGGCCTGGGCAAAGCCCATCTGGGTAGACAGTTCCTATCTACAGCCCTTCGGGAGGAGAAAAGGGCTTTGGGGTTAGTGACAAAGGAAAAGGCATGGTGTGAGGTGAGGCCTGGGCGCTGAACCATCTCGGTCCCCACTGCAGGGGACCGAGGGAGTGCTCTCTTTCCAGCCTGTCACTTTCCATCTGTAAAATGACAGGGCTGGATTGGGACAATTTTCAAGCTTCCCCGCATTTGGGGTCCATAAGGAGACACACTGGGAGGCCGAGGCTAGAGAGAGTCTCTGGGTACCCCCACCCCCTTCTTCCAGCAAAGCTCCATTGTTATTAGCTTTTCTGTTGGACTTGGGTTCTGGGACTTTGACTTTTAAAAGTCTGGGAAAAAAAGATCACTTAGTAGAATGAGCTTGAGGGATCCTTTGAGGACCAACCAGTCATCCAAAACTGACCCCTCCACTCAAGGCAGCCATGACTTCGACCGGGACCATGCTCCCCCTCTCGCACCCCCAGCAGATTGGGGAACTGGCTTTGAAGCTTCTGCAAAGGTGGATATTCCAGGGTGTTCGACATTAAGGGCAAAAAAATAGAATTACTGATGTCCATGGATGGTGGTGAGAGTAAAATGACAACACGTCCAAGTTGCATGCCCTGGGGACAATAAGGCAGTCCCATATGCCCTCTTATGGAAAGGTTTAATGCAAAGTGTGTAATGCATGAGGCTAAAAACACTGGGAGGAGGCACACCCAGCTGTTGAAGCGCTGCACGTGAAGGGTTAGCAAGTCACGCATTCAGGGGGTCCTAGTTAGTACGTCAGGCCACATGGCTTGTTTATGGGCAGTGTCACAGCCACTGTGACTGGTCAGCACTGGTGACTTCTCACTGCAAATATTCTGACTTCTTGTTATAGGCCCTGAAGACCAGAGTCCCAAGATTCTACGTGCAGATGAGAAGCAGGCCCAGGGTGAGAGAGTGACTTAACACGGTCCCCATCACAGAGCCCAGGCCCTTTTTTCCAAGCCACTTAAGAGGCTGGTGACTGGTTCCACTGCCAGGGGAGTCTAGATCCATCAACAGAGGCCAGGCTAGGCCAGGAAAGGCTGCTTTTCCTCCAAAAATCTCAGGGGAAAGCCAATCTGAGCAGGAGTTGTTTGCTTTTATTATTAGCCTCAGCCGAAGATGGGGTTTCCTGCTTTACTCAGATTTCTCAGGGGGGAAGAGGAAGAAGATGAGGGGCAGCAGGTGTCTACTGGCAGAGACACCTAATCCTCCTACAGCTCTGTTATCAGCGAAACTAGCAGGAAACCCAGGCTGCAGCTCAGTGGCAGGAGGTGGGAGTGGCAGAAGGTGGCTTTGGTTCAAGGGTGCTGGGGACCAAGGACAGGTGAGTTTTCTTATCCTACTTCATTCCCTTTTTTTTTTTTTGAGACAGGGTCTCACTTTATTGCCCAGGCTAGAGTGAGTGCTGTGGCTTCAGCCTAGCTCACAGCAACCTCAAACTCCTGGGATCAAGCGATCCTCCTGCCTCAGCCTCCTAAGGAGCTGGGACTACAGGCATGTGCCACTATGCCCGGCTAATTTTTTGTATATATATTTTTAGTTGTCCAATTAATTTCTTTCTATTTTTAGTAGAGACGGGGTCTTGCTCAAGCTGGTTTTGAACTCCTGACCTTGAGCAATCCGCCCGCCTCAGCCTCCCAGAGTGCTAGGATTACAGGCGTGAGCCACCACGCCCGGCCTTCATTCCCTTTTGATTTCCCCATCTCCAGGGTCTGAGGGTTCAGGGCACCCTCAGCTTCATCCTTCGGGCTGGGCAGCAAACTGGAGTGAGCACGCCGAGAGCTTGCTGAGGCCCCACGGGGCCCCGCCCCGCGTCTGAGTCAGCAAGCAATGCTGTGGGCGCAGGGTCTGTCTGGGAGCTCCAGGGCCTTGCAGAATGAGACACTCTTGTGGAGAGTAAACATTTATTTCTGCGGCAGCGGTTCCTTCTGCTTCACTTCAGATTCTTTTCTTTTGATTAATTGCAAAGAAAGTCTTGCACTTCACATTAGCAAAGATACAAATGGTCTTGAACTCCTGGCCTTGAGCAATCCTCCTGCCTCCCGAAGTGCTGGGGTTACAGACCAGAGCCACCACGCCCTGCCTATAGACACTAATGGAATTGTTCTAGCGCTGCTGCCCCTTCATCCTTATTTCTGCATTCGTGCCCTCGCATTGTCAGGAATGTCCCGATGTTGCTGAGATTCTGGTTGGGTTCTCTAATTTTCTGTTTTGCTTGATTTTGATGACCAGGTGTCACATACAGCGCTGCAGAGAGGGAGCAGCCACTGTTGCGGGAGAGACCTCACCTGGGCTCCAGTGGGGCTCAGCCCGAGGGTGAGGAGATTAACGGTTCTTTCACACAGGAGGGCAGCTCTGACTTTGCAGGGAGGAGGGCGGAAGTTTTCCCCTCCGCCAGTAAACCGGGGCCTGGAAGCTAATCCTGCACTTTCTCTACCATCTGGAGGATGCTGGGGTGAAGCCAGCAGGGTTAAGAGAGCCTCCTCCCTTTTCACAACTCTGGAAATTCTAAAAACCATTGAATTGCACACTTTAAATAGGTGAATGGTATGGTATGTGAATTAGATGCCAATCAAGTGTTTTTGTTTTTTTTTTTTTAAGACAGAGTCTCACTTTGTTGCCCAGGCTAGAGTGAGTGCTGTGGCATCAGCCTAGCTCACAGCAACCTCAAACTCCTGGGCTCAAGTAATCCTCCTGCCTCAGCCTCCCGGGTAGCTGGGACTACAGGCATGTGCCACCATGCCCGGCTAATTTTTTCTATATATTTTTAGTTATCTAGCTAATTTCTTTTTATTTTTGGTAGACAGGATCTTGCTTTTGCTCAGGCTGGTCTTGAACACCTGACCTTGAGTGATCCTCCTGCCTCGGCCTCCCAGAGTGCTAGGATTATAGGTGTGAGCCACCATGCCCAGCCTGAAGCTTTAAAAAAAAGAGTTTACTCCTCTGGCACCTCTGGGAAAAGTTCCTTTAATAAAAAAGTTCCGGTACATTTACACGATTGTCATCACCCTTCATCTATAGCACACGATGGGGAAAATGAAAAAGGACAACCTAGACACGCTCAGTATAAAAAACGTAGTGATCCATCCGAGTGGGGGGTCTCAGGGCCTGGAAATCAGAGCGATGGCGGGGCGGGTGACCTGCCTCTAACTCTTTGAAATCAGCATTGGAAATATTCATGTTGTACTAAGAGGTGGCCTCTTTCTAAGGAGAAGGGTCCATTCCAGAGACGAGGTCAGCCCGGGTCAGAGCAGGCCCAGGCCACGGCCACGGGGCTGAGCATTTGGTGGCAGAGGAGAGACTCCTGGAAACGGCGCCTGGGGCGACCCTGACCTAGGCGGGAGGTCCCAGCGTTGACGTCGGCTGCCCACGGCTGCCCACACCGTGCACTGTGAAAGGCTCGGAAACCAGCCCCTCCGAGACCCACAGCCTCTCCCCTCTGAGTCGCTAAAGCCACTTCCCGACAAGCTCCAAAGGCCTTGGCTGACGGGTGGGGGGACGGAGACCCCCTCGGAGATGCCGCTGTGGCCTGAAGTTTGGTCCCCTGCCCCGAGGCAGGTGGGCGGGCAGCCTAGTTGTCCTCGCCACCGCCGTACATGTCCGCCAGCTTCTTGAAGCGGCTGCCCCACTCACTCAGGTAGTCGTAGTCCTGGTCCTGGTCCGAGGCCGAGGAGGTGAGGGAGCTGAGCGAGGCGGCGTCCGAGCCGCTGCCCTCGTAGTCGAACACGAGCAGGGAGTCGTAGGGTGGCGCGGTGGGGTCCGTGTTCGCCGCCTTCAGGTTCTGCGGGACAGAACGGGGTTAGGAGCGGCGGGGTCTCAACGCTTCCCAGCCTCGGGCCTCTGTGTCCTCATCTGTGATACCACCTCCCCTCCTTTAAGGTTTTTTTTTGTTTGTTTTTGAGACAGAGTCTGGCTTTGTTGCAACCTCAAACTCCTGGGCTCAAGCAATCCTTCTGCCTCAGCCTCCCAGGTAGCTGGGATTACAGGCATGCGCCACCATGCCCGGCTAATTTTTTCTATATATCTTAGTTGGCCAATTAATTTCTTTCCATTTTTAGTAGAGACGGGGTCTCGCTCTTGCTCAGGCTGGTCTCGAACTCCTGACCTTGAGCAATCCGCCTGCCTCGGCCTCCCAGAGTGCTAGGATTATAGGCGTGAGCCACCGCGCCTGGCCTCCTTTAAGGTTTTGAAAGTTAAAATGAAACAATCTGCATGGAGTACTTAGCGCAGGGACCAGCAACGCAGCAAGTGCTCAGTGAAGAGGCCAGTGGCCAAGGGCAAGGGCTCTGCGTGCTAGTTTTGTGACCTTGAGTGAGTCTCTTAACTCTTCTATGCCTCTGTCTCCTTGTCTGTAAAACAGGGACGCTTCATATAGTTTGACAGGAATATGTAAACATATGCAAATACATGTAAAGCACTTATTAGAACGGTACCTGGCTATCATCACCTGATAAATGCTACACGCTAGGTCAGTAGTTCTCAAACTTAAATTACCTGCAGAATCTTTTATAAATTCTGAAGCCCGGGCCACACCCAGAGCAATAAAATGACAGCCTCTGGGGATGACGCAGAGGCATCAGTGGTTTTTGGGGTTCCCCAGGGGATTCCCTTGTGCGGGCAGGTTTGAGAAGCCCTGTACTAGCACCGTTCTAGATGTTGGCTCATCCAGTCCCTGGAGTGACCTGTAAGAGGTCCCAAGCTTTGCTCCCTACTGGAATCACCCGGATCTGTAAAAATTCAAACCCAGGTTTGGCTCAAGTATTCTAACAACTACTGCTACTTTTGTTGAATAAATTAGTCCTAATCGTTCTTAAGCACTCTGCAAGTTAGGGTTTTCTGGAAGAAGAAACAGAACCCTCGAAGTTACTCAAATATGCCAGAGGTTGCACAGCCAGTTGGCGGAGTCAGGATTTGAACCCAGATGTGAGACTCAAGCCCATACTTATTCTCTGTGCTGCTGGTGCCAGGCTTGAACAAAGGGGTGCCCAGGGCTGGCCTGCCACGCCTTACCTCGATGATGAAGTTGCCGATTTCGTCTGGGTTGGCTGGCCGAGGACGGTACATGGGGGTGGGGATGAAGGTTGGCGCCACGTCGTTGCGGAGAACCACCTCGGGCCTGGCCTCCAGCCCCCGGTGGAGCTGGGTGATGTCGTAGTCCTTTAGGGAAAGGAAGGCGAGCGTGGGACTGAGAAGGACACCCCTCCCCACCACTTACATCGCACCCCGCCCCCACCCGTGGATGCTCCGGTTCCCGGGTGGGTCTTAGAAGACATGAGTTTGGTGGTTTCGGGAAGCCCTAGTTTCCACCCTCCCTGTCCTCCTCAAATTAAGCACAGGCTCGAGGTTAACCTGCCTAGGGCCAGGGAGACTGCAGCGATGGGCCAGCCCCCTCTCAGAAGGGGAGCATCGGGGCTCGATCCTGCATGGAGACTCCACACCAGGGTCTGGCCGGCACAGCTAACGTGGTTAGTTGATAGACCTGACTGTCCCTGCCAGTGGCCTTGGGGGCACCCACCTCCCGTCCCCCAGACCACCCATACCCCACCTGGTCCTCTTCGCCGCCCCCTTCCTCGCCATAGTAGAAGACATTGTCACGGGTGTCATCTTCTGGGAGTAGAAGGGGCTCCTTCACCTTCCGCTTCTTTCTCACCAACAAGAGGAGCACCAGCAGGAGCACTGAGGAGCGGGGGGATGGGTATGAACATGACACACAGGGCCAAGCCCCCCAAAGCCCTCTGAGCCCCACCTAACTCAGACACTTCTGCTCAGTAGCCAGAGCTCAACACTACCTGCACCTGCCTGCACCTGGGAGACCCCAACACCTCCTGAAGGCTGAAGAGCTGGCCCCGGCCTGTGCCTCCCCTTCCCCATCCCCCAAGTTCTAGCAGCTTCCACTTAGGAACTTTTCCTCGCCAGGCACATTCTGGGCATATACATGGCTCTCACCCTTTAGGTCTCAGCTCAACATCACACCCTCCTAGAAGTATTCTGACTTTATTGCCCTACCTACAATGCTGTCGTCCCACAGTGGTGGCACTGAATCTTAAGCAAGATAATGCAACTTGATATGGAGCCCTAACTTGAACTTAGGTGTAAATGCTACGTTGGAATTTTAAGACAGGGACTGGCTTCTAGTGACATGGTCTGAAAGGCTGGCAGGCTATTTGGACACGAGGAGACTGGCTGCTTTCCCTGTCGTGACTATACCCAGTTAGCCATATATTAAATTCAGAGGGTACCCCTGGCCTTGTCGCCACGGCAGCTCAATGTAAGAGGACACACCACATTGCTCAATGGCGTTACTTTTGTGCCTGTTGATGGAACCACTGTCTCTGTCTGGCCAGACGAGACTGAGCTAGGCTTCCTTGGGAGTCCAGGATGTACGGCTGTAACCCCCTCTCCTCTCCACTGAGGCCGGGGCCCGTGCGCCTAGCCTAGCTGCCTGCTGCCATCCCCACTGGGACTGACAACCCTCTCCCCACTGTCCCTCCCCAGCTGGGAGATGGAGCCTCCACGCTTCCACGTGCTTAGGCCAAGAGCCCTGGCGTCACAGGTGGCTCTCTCCCTTGTGCCACAGACCAACCTGAACTGACTCCACCTTGAAACAGGACGCCCTCTCGCCACCGCAATGCTGCCGTCCTGGTCTGGGCTGCCAGTCCCCTTCCCACCCCTGGTCACCGCAACAGCCTCCTAAACATTTCCCTGTCTCCTCCCCTACCCCAGAGTCGGGGAACCTTGCAAAATTTCAAATTCCATCACTCCTCTGCTCAGAACCTTCTGATGCTGCCTCTTACACCCAGAGTCCTGACAATGGCCCACAAGGCCCAATGTGATGTCCCGCCGTGCCCTCACCTCTGTCACCTCGTTTCCTAACCCTCATCGCTCCCTCATCTATCCCAGGTCTTCACCTGAACATCCCCTCTCAGCAAGGCTTGTCCTGCCCAGACCCCCTACCCCATCCGGCCACTCCATCCCCCTCCCTGCTTTCCTGTTCTCCATGGCAACGCCGTTCCTCGTGCTAAGTGCTGTCCCCCAGTGACTGAGGCAGTGCCGGGCGCACAGTACACTAACTAAAGCTCGCTCTTCTTGTTGCGTTTTTATCTGACACGTGTCTTCTACGTAAGGACCAAGTCAGAGTGGAAAAAGCACCTGTGATAGGTTCTACCTTTAGAGCAAAGAAATTTATTTTTAACTAGACACGTCTGCCCACTGGACCAGTGGTTCTCAAACTCTAGCGTGTGCCGGAACACCCTGGGGGCACTCACTAAACACAGATGCCTGGGCTCTATCCCAAGGTTTCTGAATCAGCAGGTCTGGAGTGAGGGCTGAGAATTTGCCTTTCTAACAGATTCCTGGCAGTGCTGATGCTGTTGGTCTTTCAGAACCACTGCTCGGGCTCTAGATGACTTAACAGCAGGGCCACATCTGTTTGCTCACCAATGTGTCCCCACAGCCTGGCACATTCCAGAAGCTCCAGAATCCTACTGACCAAAAAAAAAAAAAAAAAAAAACCCACGAAAAAACCTACTGACAGAATACTGCTCCTAGAATTAAGAGTTTAAGGAACAGATGGGGAATATTGGTGGCCCCTTAGTCCCAGAAGTTCAGGGGAGAATCAGACATTTTAACTCCGCTGTCCTCAGAGAGAGGGGAGGGCGCCAGGTACTCACGTAGCAGAGCCAGGACAGCCCCGAGGACGGGGAGGATAAAGCCCCCCTTCCAGGGTTTGGGGCAGCTTTCCACGTGGCCGTGGCAGTCGCACACGGTGGCCCTGATCACCGTCAGCTGCTCCTTGCTGCCGTGGTCAGACAGAGAAAGGTGCACGTCATATGTGTCTTGCTTCAGGAACTTCTTCAGGGACAAAGCCACTGTGTCACCTAGGGTGGACAGATCACGTATTAACTGAGTGTACACCGTGACGAAGGACTGAGAACATGGGCTCTGCGTGGGCAACAGCAAGAAATGTTGCAAAAGCACACTTTGGCCAAGTGATAAAAATTGTATTTGGCTAAAGCAAAACTCACCGTCATGGAAAGACTTACTGGGATAGAAAAATAAATTATTTTTGCTGTTATAATACCAAATATATTTATACCTCAACTGTATCATTGAATTGCAATATACACAACAGCTATATTTCCAAGTGAGCACTCAATTATCAATATATCCAAACACATGTGACTTGGTTGTGTGGTTGGTGGAGCTAAACAGAACAGACAGGATGGCAATCCGTGTCATCATAGCACTAGTGACTGCACACAAGTTCAGGGATGTCAGAAATGAGGCTGCAACAGGCACTGGGCTAATTGGCCTGCACAGGCCCAGGGGCAGCAGGGTAAGCGCAGAGCAGAGGCAAGGCCTGGTGCAGCCTGCACAGTGGCACCTCTGGGGAGACCGTGCTGGGGACAGGGTCTGTGTCTATAGGTGAGGAATATAGGGTCGGTGTTGTTTTGCAAACAGGCCTTCATTGTAGACCTTTCACAAGAGGGGAGCCGTTAGCTTGGGTGGAACATTTTTCATCACATAGGATTTTCCCCCCCATGTTGCAGGGTCACACATCTGTGTAGTGCAGTCACCAGGGCGATCAAAAACAACCCCTAAGTTTCTAACCCACCTGTCCTAGGCTTGCCCGCCTACTTCAGCACGGACCTACGGTCATTTTCAGTTAAAATGCTCTGCACACTCGCTGGCTCCTCTTAGTGAAAAGGCCAGAGGCGGAACTGACACTATTCCCACTCGGCACTGGCTGGCAGGGGTGGCTCTGTAGACTGAGTGTTTGGTCTACCATGACCGAGGCCAACACGGGACATGCCACCAAAACATCCTACCATGCTGTACGGCTGACTTCCCAGTAGCTGCTGCTGATGGTGACAGCGACTAAATAGACGCTTATCACATGCCAGGCCCTAATCCTCACCACGACTCTAAGAGGCAGCTACTGCCATTATCCTCATTTTAGAAATACAGAAATTGAGGCTTCGGGAGTCAGGTGACTAGCAGGAGGTCACAAGGGGTAGAGTCTGGATTAATTTCCCTAAGAACAGGACAAGGGCAAATAGAAAAATGAAATTAAAACCAAGAACCAGGTATCAATACTCTTATCAGACATTGGTACCACTGGGATTTGGCCACGATGCTCACACTCGAACAGAGCCACCAGGTCTGCAGCTGTGGGAAACAATGGTGTGGACGGTGGCTGCTCTATCTACTGAGCAGTAACAACCAGACAAGATGCCTTTTGTGTATTCACGTATTGATGATCTTCACCTTAACTGTACGGAAGTAGGTACAAATATTGAACCCATCCTACAGATAAGGAAACTGAGGCACAGTGAGGTTCAGTAACTTGCTCACAGTCACGAAGCAACTAAATGGAGGAGTCAGGTCTTAAACCGAAGCAATCTGGCCCCAGAGTTCACGTTCTTATACGGTATGTTCAAAGAGGAAAAAAGTGGCTTCTAGGCCACAAGGGGTGACGGGACCAACCTGGGCTTCTCAAGAGAAAGGTGCTGGACAGATTACACCCCAATTACAAAAGTCAGAAAAATGAGACCACGTGGGTGTCTGAAGCAGGTCTCCTGCTCCTTTCTGGGCTGGCCTCGGCAGCAATGACAGAAACTGGGCATTTGGTTTCTTTGGTAGGAATCTGAATGTACTGACACCCCATTTCCCTTCTGGGAGACCCCAGTTCCAGAAGGATGGGGAAACACTTTAAACCAGGGCAAGGCGGTGCTTCTCCAAGAGCTTAATTGCCACATGAGGCTGGACCCACCTTCTCTTGCATCCTGGGTCCTCACCCACTCGATACCAGTAAGACCCTTCTCCAGGTCTCATGACAACTTAAAAAAAAATCACTGAAGGCTAGAAGCTCTGAGCTGGTGGACTGGAAAGAGCCAGGACAAGGAGGCGGATGGGAGCAGTGCTGTGCGGGGGGCCAGGTCCCTGGAGGCAAAGCCTGGCTGCGACTTCTACTACTCACCTACTCTGCGCCCTTGGGCATGCTATCTAACCCCTCCAAGCCTCATCTCATCTGTAAGTAGGGATTAAAATACTGACCGCAGAGTTGGGTAGAAATATTAAACAAGGAAAAGAGGAAAAAGCATTTTATATACCACCAGGGCTCAAAAAATAGTAGGCAGTAGAGCATCATGCTAAGACAGACTGCCTGCATTAAAATCTTGGTGAGGCCAGGCGTGGTGGCTCACGCCTGTAATCCTAACACTCTGGGAGGCTGAGGAGGGTGGATCGCTCAAGGACAGGAGTTCGAAATCAGCCTGAGCAAGTGGGAGATCTTGTCTCTATTAAAAATAGAAAAAAATTAATTTGGTCAACTAAAACTTAGCTGGGCATGGTGATGCATGCCTGTAGTCCCAGCTACTTGGGAGGCTGAGGCAGAAGGATCGCTTGAGCTCAGGAGTTTGAGGTTGCTGTGAGCTGGGCTGACGCCACGGCACTCACTCTAGCCTGGACAACAAAGTGAGACTCTGTCTCAAAAAAAAAAAAAAAAAAAAAAAAAAATCTTGGTGACACCATTTCTTTGCCATACAGCTTCTGGCCAGATATTTAGACTTTAGATTCTATAAGCCAGGGTTTCCTCACCTGTAAAGTGTGTGTGTGTGTGTGTGTGTGAAAGAGAGAGACAGTAGCAGCCTCTTTGCAGGTTGTTGTGGGATGAGTCAGTTTTTCCACTGGCACAGAAATGTGACTGGGCTGGAATGGTACTTTGGGGTCCTGTGGAATTCTAAAGGTTTCCACAAGGTTGTTACAAAGCATCTGTTGAAGCTCTGGAGGAGACTGTTACCTCTGTGACCCACACGATGCTGGACAGGAGCGTGTACAGGGTCCTGGTACAGGGCAGACGCCCACCCGGCAAAGCTGCCACCCGCCCGCCACCCCCACCCGTGAGCTACCTTTCTCATTGACCTCTGCCGTCCAGTGGATGTCCGAGTCGTGTGTGAGCTGGGCCTGGAAAGGGGAGGTGTGGGGGGACAGGTCCTTGTCCGTGATGTTCAGCACTTGGGGTACGGGGCTTTGGTTGCAGATGGTGATCTGCTGGGGCTCAGGGACCGGGCCGTGGTCATTGACGTCGATAAGTGTCAGCAGGAGGGTCCCCGTGCCCGTGGTGGGAGGACTCCCTGTTCACAACAACACATGACCTTTCAGCACCTGCCCTTGGTCGGGCTGATGAATCGATGTTAAGCTCCCCGTGACCGACTCCACCAGCCCCAGGAGACTACTTACCACCCACCTCTAAGCTCACAAGACCTTCCATGCCTTGGCTTTCAACACACAGCAGATACTTGCCGATCAAGCCATCATTCTCCCCACTAATGGCACCAGCACAGTCACAGCCATTCATCCCGACAGCCACCAGTCACATGGTGAAACCAGTCATCCTCAGGACCAGTCCCTGCACTCTGCTGCAACAGGTCACCTGCCTGCAGGCCTTGTGTCACTACGGCTCAAGTAAAACCACTACGGTGTGATGTCACTAATCACTCATGGCACTTTCCAGGCAGCCCTTATCTGTCAATCACAAGGGGAAGCTGACGGGTCAATTCAGGCTCAGTGAACCGAAAACTCAGGCTAAATGGAATCTTCAGAATGTGTCCTAAGTCTTGGGTTTTAAAGAAACTGGAATCATGGCCAGTAATCCGAGGCCTGGACTTAAAAAGACTCCTCTGAAAGACCCCTTTCACCCTCTGGACGGGTCTACAGCTGCTTCCCTGACACACTCTGCCTGTGGAGGGGACACGCTGTGTCATGTCACCTGGGAACCAAAGGTGGCCTCTGTGAAAGGGTGGAGGAAGCTCTCACCATTGTCCGCGGCCAGGACGATGACCTCATAGACGTTGTTCCTCACAAACTGCTCATCCTCGCGGTCTAAGGTGCCCGAGGCAGTGACCTGCCCGCTGTCTGGGTCCATGGCCAGCCACCCGGCTGGGTCTCTCAGGATATGGTAGCTGGAGAGGGAAAGTTGAGAAGAGTCACACCTGGAATACTTGGAATTCTGGTGTCATCATTCAAGGCCTCCTTGTACTGCCTGGCAGATGGACTCTGGGCTCCTAGGCAGGATCGTGTGGAAACTGCGTCTCATCTGTGACGGGAGCCTAACACAGCGGGGAAGGGGGTCCCAGCAGGGAGATGTGAGAGAGTGAGGAAATACCTGCGTGCTGAGCCCCTACTTAAGAGTCTTCCCTCAAGGAGGGTAGGAAAAAGAGGTCCTATGCAGGGGTGACGTTCGAAATATCTAACCATCAGCCAGGCACGGGGGCTCACGCCTGTAATCCCAACACTTTGGGACGCTGAGGCGAGAGGATCACTTGAAGCCAGGAGTTTGAGACCAGCCTGGGCAATATAGCAAGATCTTGTCTGTACAAAAAATTTTTAAAATGAGCCAAGCGCCGGGCGCTGTGGCTCACGCCTGTAATCCTAGCACTCTGGGAGGCCGAGGTGGGCGGATTAATCAAGGTCAGGAGTTCGAAACCAGCCTGAGCAAGAGCGAGACCCCGTCTCTACTATAAATAAAAAGAAATTATTTGGCCAACTAAAAAAATAATATATACATATTACCATGCGCCGGGCATGGTGGCGCATGGCTGTAGTCTCAGCTACTCGGGAGGCTGAGGCAGGAGGATCGCTTGAGCCCAGGAGTTTGAGGTTGCTGTGAGCTAGGCTGACGCCACGGCACTCACTCTAACCTGGGCAACAAAGCGAGACTCTGTCTCAAAAAAAAATAAAAAAATAAAAATTAGCCAGGCATGGTGGTACATTCCTGTAGACCAGCTACTCAGGAGGCTGAGGCAGGAGGATCGCTTGAGACCAGGTTGCAGTATGACGGTGTCACTGTACTCCAGCCTGGGCAACAGAGTAAGATCCCGTTTCAAAAAAACAAAATATTTAACCATCTTTTTGGCAATTAGAACAAATGCTGCCCATAATAAACCACCCATCTGGCTGTACCAGTGCGTCTGGCTGACTGAGGCCAGCTCCCAAGTACCTGATCTTCTGATCCTCCTTGTCAGGATCCTGCGCAGTGTAGACGCACACAGGCTCCCCGGTGGAGACGCCCTCCTGGACCTCGATGACTTTGGAGGGTGGGACAAACACGGGTGCCTCATTCACATCCTCCACATGCACCACTACGGTGGCCGTGGAGGTTGGCAGCTTCACCACAAAGGGAGCCTCGTTGGTCACTGCAACGTACAGGGTGTGCTGGTGCTTGGCCTCAAAATCCAAGCCCTAGGAGAAGAGGCAGGAGGACCTGAACCGCCACGTTGACCGAGCGGAGGTCTCACGCAGCGCAGTGGGTGTCAGAGGAAAGACCCAATACTGGGGGCTTGAGGTCCCCACCGGCAACAATGCTGCCCCCTCCTTGTCCCATAATGCCTCCTGCGTTTCCTGCGTGGACATCTAAGGGGACCTTCAGATCATCCCAAATGTAACTGGATTTGTGAGCCCTAGAACATTGATTCCCAGTGGGGTGGTGACAGCCCCCAAGCGGTGTTTTAGAAACTTGTGGAGGCATTTGTAGTTGTCATCATGACTAAGGGATATCACTGCCATTTACAAGCTGGGGCAGGGGTGCCACGTCCCACAGCATTACAGACATGCAGCACTGTCCCAGATCTTACGTGACTTGCCAATATCCCCCTGAACATTCATACATTCGTGGATGTGAAAAACCTGTTTATAATTAGAGTCTGGAACAGGTTTTACACGTGAACAAAGTTTTGGGTGTGCTTTTAATATATACTTAATTTTCTCAGGAATGTAACTTCTGAGAGCTCATAATTAAATCTGTTCACGACTTTCTCAAGAGTTGTTTATTCACTGTTCTGAAAAGACATCAAGACCGCTTGCAGCATGAGTCACCGGGGGACACATGGTACTCACTGCATTTGGATGATTCTACAAAGAGATGCAGGTAACCGACCACTTCATTATGTTTTCCAGTGTAGTTGCGTCCAAAAGTTGACATACCAAAATATTTTAAATGCAGTAATTTTTTTTCCTGTAAATTTCTCTTTTCTTTTATGGTTAGGGCATTCTATTCTTCTAGAAATTACGAGTTAGGTTAGTTACATTAGAAATGAACTCCACCAGCCTGAGCAAGAATGAGACCCTATCTCTATTAAAAATAGAAAAAAATTAGCTGGACAACTAAAAATATATAAAAAAAATTTAGCCGGGCATGGTGGCGCACGCCTACAGTCCCAGCGACTCGGAAGGCTGAGGCAGCAGGATTGCTTGAGCCCAGGAGTCTGAGGTTGCTGTGAGCTAGGCTGACGCCACAGCACTCTAGCCTGGGCAACAAAGTGAGACTCTGTCTCAAAACAAAACAAAACAAAAAAATGGACTCCATTTCACAATGCAAAAGAGGCATAAAATGTTTGTTGCAAAATATGGGGGAGTGAATCTGAAATAATCTTTAAAGCATTATATAAAATACTGCTTTATGAACTAGGCCATGCTTCATAGTGAAGATTAGGCCAATTTTTTTTTCATTTTTTTTTTTTTTGGAGAGTCTCACTCCATTGCACAGGCTGGAGTGCAGCGGGCTATCATAGCTCCCTGCAGCCTCTGACTCCTGGCTGCCCTGGGAATGGCCCTTTACTACAGGCCAAACTGACTCACCTTCCTGGTTGTCAAGATGCCCTGGTTGCTCTCAGGGTCGGTGGTGATGGTAAAACGGTCACTGTCGTCACCTCCCACAATGCGGTAGGTGGCATGCCACGCCGGTGAGTTGGGGGCATCCAGATCGGTCACTGTCAGCCTCTGCACCTCGTGGCCCACTGCATTCTCTGGCACACGGGCCTCATACTGCCAACGTGGGAAGCACAGCACAATCAGGGCAGAGAGAATGACCATCCCGAGAGCCTGTTCCTCTCTGCAGCATCCGGGAATCCTCCATCCGACTCCAGGGGAGCCTCACGTCCTGTACCCTTTCCTGCACCACAACCCACTGAGCGGGTTTTCAGGGCATGTACAGGCGCAGAATGTCGCGGGCATCAGCCCCACAGGGGCTGAGACAGACCACCCCAATCTCGGGCCAGCTGTCCTCACACGAAGGGGCCCAACTCAGGCATCTCACTGGTCTGTGTGCCCTGCCACAGGTAGCTACCTAGCTAGCCGAGATCAGAAAGGTAGAAAGAAGGTGGCAAGAAGGGCTAGGTGCCTGATCGTGCTGGGGCACTGACCAGGAACTTCCCTGGAGGTTCTGGGACAGATGGCAAAGACTGGGAAATCGGCTGCTTAGAGCAAAATTTTAACCTGGGCTAAATATGTTCAGCGGCCAGAGCAATCTAAAGATGGAAGGAGGAGTGTCACCTTGGTTAGCACTGAGTCCTTACCCACTAGGTGTGCAAGCATTCACTGGGAGAAGGCTGGCAGGTGTAGGTGGGAGGCAAGTAAGTTTTCATATCAATATTTTCACATCAAGCACATATTTACAGGGCATTGTGTTAAGAAATGTACATAGCTTATTTATTTAAAACTTGGAACAAGCCGGGCGCGGTGGCTCACGCCTGTAATCCTAGCACTCTGGGAGGCCGAGGCGGGCGGATTGTTCGAGGTCAGGAGTTCGAAACCAGCCTGAGCAAGAGCGAGACCCCGTCTCTACTATAAATAGAAAGAAATTAATTGGCCAACTAATATATATATAAAATTAGCCGGGCATGGTGGCGCATGCCTGTAGTCCCAGTTACTCGGGAGGCTGAGGCAGCAAGATCGCTTGAGCCCAGGAGTTTGAGGTTGCTGTGATCTAGGCTGACGCCACGGTACTCACTCTACCCTGGGCAACAAAGTGAGACTCTGTCTCCAAAAAAACCCCAAAAACCTCAGAACAATGCAGCAGGCATTATTGTTACCTCCTTTTCACAGACTAGGAAATGGTGCAGAGAGGTTAGGTAGTTTACCTAAGGTCACACAGCTAGGAAGTGGTGAGACGGGGACTTGAAGCAGTGCAGGCTGGCTCCAGAGTTTCAAGAGAAAGGAAGAAACTCAGTCCATAATTATCTGATGAGGGAAGAAGGAAGGGCGGAGCATTACCTTCTGGGGGTCAAACACGGGGGCGTTGTCATTGGCGTCGAGGATTTCCACTACTGCCACTGCCGTGGTGGTGGAGCCGTCCCCGTCCATGTCTGTGGCCTGGATGGTCAGCGTGTACTCAGGGACTTTCTGGGGAGAAAGAGAGGAGAGGGAAGCCCCTTGTGAGTGCTGTGTGAGGGGTCCCTCACTGGGCTCCAGGAAGCACAGCCTTGGGAGGTGTGGACTGGAGGGTGTTTGTCCCTCTCATGATGTTCTCTCGACCCCCTGACCCACCCCTGCCCACCGCCAGAAGGAACGGGAGCAGAGGGTGGTGCTGGGGAGGGGCCTGCGGGTCCAAACAGTCCTCCTGGGCCTGTCCTGGGGAAAGCTGGGCACTGCCCCCGACCTCTGGCTGCTCTAGAATGACAGCTTCCAGCGGGTGTTTAGGGAAAGGTGTTAATTAGGAAACAGGAGGCAACTCCAGTATTTGTGGAGCTAATTCTACTTTATAGCACACAAGGGACAGGTTTAGGCAACGTGCACGCTAAGCGAGCCATTCCAAGAGGAAATGAGAAAACCTCCAGAAAACATCAAAAGTCTGCACTTTGCAGCTGCCTCCTGGGCCTCAGAGGAGACGCACGGAGATTGCCTGGCAGCTTGCGAACACAACGGCGGCCACCCCAGCTGACCTGCTTCCCATGGTTCTGCCTGCACTTTGGGGACAGGGACAGGAGTTTCTGCTCTCAGAGCCAGGCCCTAGCCTGAGTAGGCAGCACTCTCGCTCCTAAGGGCTGCTCACCTCTCGGTCCAGGCCGCTGGAGACCACGCTGATGCTGCCTGTGCCCCGGTGGACGGTGAACATGAGCTCATGCGGGTCCTTCGGTTCCTGGCTATGGATGGAGTAAGCGACCACCCCGTTGTAAGTGTTGATGGCATCGTCCTCGTCCGTGGCCGTCACCTGCATCACGGAAGTGCCTGGAGAGGAGAAGGGGTGAGTGAGCACCTCTCCCTCCCAGCTCCAGTTCCAGCCTCGGCTCCTGATGGAACTCGGAGAAGCTCCGCCCTGCTGGTCAGCCTGGACCCACCTTCTGATCTTCGGCAGAGATCGCCAGGTGGGGCCTGTATTCTAGACTCCCCTCCTTTCTTAGAACACAATCCTCATTTCAGGCTGGGCAAAGGCCCACCTAGGACAAAGACCATTTCTCATCCCCTCTTTTTTTTTTTTTTTGAGATAGAGTCTTGCTTTGTTGCCCAGGCTAGAGTGAGTGCCGTGGCGTCAGCCTAGTTCACAGCAACCTCAAACTCCTGGGCTCAAGCAATCCTGCTGCCTCAGCCTCCCAAGTAGCTGGGACTACAGGCATGTGCCACCATGCCCGGCTAATTTTTTTCTATATATATTAGTTGGCCAATTAATTTCTTTCTATTTATAGTAGAGATGGGGTCTCGCTCTTGCTCAGGCTGGTTTTGAACTCCTGACCTCGAGCAATCTGCCTGCCTTGGCCTCCCAGAGTGCTAGGATTACAGGTGTGAGCCACCGCGCCCGGCCTACAAGTTATTTCTAATTCTCACGATTCTTTAAGGTTGATATCCCTGTTTTTAGATATTACCATTGGGGCTCATGGGTCAAGAATATGCCCAGGGTTGCAGCCAGTAAAGAGGCCAAGATTCAAACTTAGATCTTTGCAGCTCTGAAGCTAGTGGTTCCCAAACTTGGGTGATCGTCAGAAGCTCAGGGGAATTTTCAAATATATAGATTGCAGAGCTCTACTCTGCGATCATTCTTATTTAGGAATCTTGGCATGGAGCAGGGATTTTTAAGAAGATCCCGGGTAATCTGATGCACAGCCAGGGAAATCAGGTGTGGTGGGATCTGCCAGCACTTGAGGGTCTGGGCCTTAAGTGCGGCCCCAGAGCAGTCCCTTCCCCGGCCCTCTTACCGGGCAGTGCCCCCTCTAAGACGCTCCCTCTGAAGACGTCCTGGGTGAACTTGGGCTTGTGGTCATTCTGGTCCGTGACGATGATGGAGATGTTCATGGGCTCCTCCACTGAAGCACCATTCTCCGACACGGCGTGGCCAAAGAGCTGTGGGCACACAGGTCGGGGGTCAGCCTGGTGCTAACCTCACCCCAGGCCCCGGGCCCCACTTCTGAGGGGCTGTTTACACAGATGCTGAAGGCTACTTGCCTCATACTTGGCAATCTTCTCCCGGTCCAGGGGCTTATTCAGCAACAACCAGCCCGTCTCTTTCTCTATGGTGAAGACACCCTCAGGGGGGCTGTCTGCCCCGGGCCCCGTGATGCTGTAGAAAATCTTGGTGCCTCTGTCCTTATTCGATTTGAGCTGGAAGCAAAAGAAAACGGCAGTTGATGGAGTGACAGATATCTCACGATGCAGCAGAGAATCTTCTGCGGAGACATGGGGAGGGACACTGGCTCATTAGACCTTGCTCCTATGCGAGAGAGGCTTTGCTCTGTAGGCCTGGGCACTCAGTAGCAAGAAACCGCACACGCAGGCCTTGGGATGGGGCCTACAGCCACCAGGGACTCCCAGGGAGAAGGCAGCCTTACCTGGTTCAGCTTCTGGGGGAAGGGACCCTTGCCGTTCTCAGAGACAGATATCGGCGGGACCACCCATTCTCTCTTGCGTCTTCGTAAGACACGTTTGGATGGAGAGACCTTCAATGCCTTCTTCTCCTGCAAGGAGAAAACACCCCTTAACCCAGATGTACAAATGGCTGGAACAAGCCCAATACCATCTCACCTACCGGAGCTAAGGATTAGGAGAGAAATCCAGATGGGCCTATTGCAAAAGGAAATAATTGGAAATTATATTGGAAATAATATTGGAAATATTGGATATTGGAAATAATCTAAATGTTCACTCATAGTGGAATACACTGGAATACACCACAGCACGTCCATCTGGTGGGACACTATGCAGCTCTAAAAATGAGAATGAGGACACCGTCTGTGGACTGACAGGGAAAGATCTTTGATACATACTGTTAAATGAAAAGATCAAGGTACAAGACAACTGAACATAGTTTAGTATGTTCTTTAACAAATACTTACATAGTACTTAATATGTGCCAGGCACTGTTCCATCTTTTGTGTAAAAGGTAGGAAATAAGACTACATAGTCATATCTTCCTATACACAGATAAGTCTGGGAGGAAACAGAGGAAACTAGTAACAGTGGTATCTGTGGAAAGGAGGTGGGCATTGTACTGCTATAATATACTGGTAAGCACACAAAAAGATACAGACATGACTAATATGTTAGTTTTTATGTAAAAGAAATGAGGGGAAAAGGTTTTTTAATATCTGCATATATACAAAATATGTAACATATGTACAATATAAATAAATATGTAATATATAAGTATATAATATAAACTCTGGAAGGAAAGAAACTGGCAACAGTGAGAGAACACCCTTCTCTTTGAGGGGAGGAAAGGGCTTTAGAAGATGAAGACAAACAAGACATAATTTATTGCATAACTTTTTTTTTTTTTTTTGAGACAGAGTCTCACTTTGTTGTCCAGGCTAGAGTGAGTGCCGTGGCGTCAGCCTAGTTCACAGCAACCTCAATCTCCTGGGCTCCAGCAATCCTCCTGCCTCAGCCTCCCATGAAGTACGCTGGGACTACAGGCATGCACCACCATGCCCGGCTAACTTTTTCCTCATATATGTATAGTTGACGTTGGCCAATTAATTTCTTCTATTTTCATAGTAGAATGTGGGTCTTGCCTTTGCTCAGGCCTGGTTCGACAACTCCTGACCCTCACAGCTCCGCCTGCCTCGGCCTCCCCAGCAGTGCCTAGGATTACATAGGCCCCGTTGAACCACTGCCACTCCGACCTTTTGTTTTTTTTTTTGAGAGCAGAGCGTCCGGCTCTGTGTCCCAGCCTAGAGTGAGGGCTGGCATCATCATAGGCTCACTGACAGCTTCAACATTCCTCGGCTCAAGTGATCGTGTCCTGCCTCAGCTCTTCCGAGGAGCTGGCGACTTACAGGTGGGCAAGGCACCCACGCCCAGCTAATTTTTTCCCCTGGGCTTTTGTTGTAGCGAGACGTAGGTTCTTATTCTTGCCGCCCCGCGCTTCAAAGCAACCTCGTCAGCCTTCCCAGGGGCTACTAGGCTTACCCACGGTGAACCGTGTGCGCGGCCGCCGGCCTTATTGTATAACTTTTTATCTTTTTTTTTGCAGCAGTATATTATTTCAACAACATTAAAAGAAAACATAAAACGCTAACAACAAAAACAAAGACAAACAAAAACAGAGAATAACAACAAAGTGTGGCCAGTGTTGGGTCCTCTTGTCTAGAAGGTCTCGTGGGAAATAAGCAGTCCTGTGTTGGTGGCCTTTTGTTCCTGGAGCTACAGGAATGCAGGAAAGGCGTTCGCGGACGGAACCCGCGAGGGACTGAATGAACACGATTTCACAAGCCAGCGTCTTTCGGCGCCGCACCTGCGAACCTCTGGTGGCTGGTGGTGAAGCCTCCTGGGGCGTCCTCCAACAGGCTGTGGGGCGGCCGCGGCCAACCGTCTGCAGGTTTAACTTGGGCTGTGGCTCACGGCGCGATCTAAGAGGCATGGCACGAGAAACAGTCTTTCCTTTTTTTGTTCCTGCAGGGAGCATTGGGCGTTTTTACCTGGACGCCGTCCCCGCTGGTTTACGCACAAGTGAATGGTCGTTCGCTCACCATATCGCTACGCTGAGCTGACTCTTGACCAGCGCAGCCCAGGAATACTGTGGAGAAGGGAGAAAGAGTAATTAGGAAGTGGGTGGAAGGCTTCTGGAAGTTACCACAGGGGAGACTACGATCAAGGATTGTTACCAAGTGGCTGAAGACAGGGGACCTGCCTGACTTCCTCTAACCAGCAGTGTGACCAATACAAGTGTCAGATGGGGCTTCCAAGTTTGGTCTCAAGAGGGAGGACCACCTCGGGGTCACTTTGTTAGCCAAATCCCTCTTTGTCCATGAGGCCAAAGAACCAAGATCACAGACATTCAGTCATATCACCCCAGGCGGCCTCACGGGACATAGGGTTGACTCAAGGTCATAGCTAGAGGCAGAAGATTTTCTGAAGGCCACGGGTCTATCTACACACAATATACATCCTGTGGCCCGCACAGATCGCTCTGGACAACCTTTGCTTGTTTCAGTTTTGTCATGCTCCTTCCTTCGGAATCTCCTCACTTGCCTACCCTAAAAGGAGTACTCCGAATTAACAGCTACCATTCCCCAGCCAGAGACTGGGCCCATTTCATCCTTATAACTACCCCAGCAAGGTCGCTCTTAGTCCCTTTTCAAAGATAAGAAAACAGGTTCAAAAGCCAGGTCTGTCTGACTCCGAGACACACACTAGAAAGTATTCACAATCAATGTTCTTACCTGCCCTTCCCTGTGGCCCAAGCATGAAATCAGGGAACCCGCCGGGAGCCACACCCTGGACCCAATCAGCGCCACCCTCTGCCGGGAGCTCACGCCCTCGCTACGCTGCAGCCTGACAAGGACCACAGGACAGTATTGTGCCTGCCCGTACAAATGCCAGTGTGAAGGCTCCCAGCTGTCCTTTTGGAAAGGCTGTCCTTTAGTCTCCAACTATTATTATTTTATTTAAAAATAATCCTTCCTTAAAATAAGAAAGAATAACAGAGGAGGGTTTTTTGTTTTTTTTACTATAAAAGTAATGTGGACATGATAAAGTACTCATATAGTATGTTAGAGTATATGCTGGGCATAGTGGCTCGTGCCTATAATCCTGGCACTTTGGGAGGCCAAGGCAGGAGGATTGCTTGAGGCCAAAAGTTCAAAACCAGCCAAGGCAACTTAGGGAGACCCTATCTCTACAAATAAAAAATTTAAAAAAATATTAGTCATCTATAGTCCTAACTATTCAGGAGGATCACTTGAGCCCAGGAGTTTTGAGATTACAGTGAGTTACAGTCCGGCCACTACACTCCAGCCTGGGCAACAGAGTGAGACCCTGTCTCTGAAAAAAATAAATAAATAAAAAAATAAAGGATTTATATCCAGAATATGTAAGAACCCCTAAAGCTCAATAACAAAATATAACCCAATTTTAAAAACAGGCAAAGAAACTGAAAAGACATTTCTCCAAAGATACAATGGCCAATAAACACATGAAAAAAGATGCTTAATATCAGTAGTCATTAGGGAAATGCAAAGCAAAATCACAACGAGATATCACTTCATACCCACTAGGATGGCTATATTTAAAAAAAGGAAGATTAAAAATGTTGACAAGGATCTGGGGAAATTGGAATCCTCACACAATGCTAATGGGAATATGAAATGGTACAGCCACTATGGAAAATAGTTTGGCAGTTTCTCAAAAAGTTAAATATAGAATTACCATATGACCTTGCAGTTCTACTCATATGTATACACTTAGAAGAACTGAAAGTAACCACTCAAACAGATATTTGCATACAAATTTTTATAGCAGCATCATTTACAACAGCCAAAAGGTGGAAACAATTCCAACTGCCCATCAAGAGATGAGTAAACAAGATGTGGTACAAACACACAGGGGAATAGTATACAGCCTTTTAAAGGAATGAAGTTCTGACACATGCTACAACATGGATGAACCTGGAACACATTATGCTAAGTGAAATAAACAAGTCACTAAAGGTTACCAGTTTCCACTTGGGATGAAGGAAAACATTCCAGAGATGGATAATGGCGATGTTGCACAACACATTCCAGAATGTACCTAGTACCTGTTTACTTAAAAATGGTTAAAATGGTAAATGTTATGTTATGCATATCTCGTCACATACACAAAGCTAGAAGTCTGACGTGGGAGTGTAAAACGGGACAATGGCTTTGGAAGACGGTCTGGCAGCACCTGCTGATATATGCAGTCCCCAAGACCCAGCAGTTCCACCGTGATGCACAGACCCAACAAAAATACATTCACCGAGAGACACGCACCGTAATGTCCACAGCAGCGCTGTTCATGTAATGGGCTATACTCACATAATGAAATGAATCAACTAGAGGGACATGCAGCAACATGGGCGAATCCAAACAACTTAGGGTGGAATGATAAAGCCAGATACCAGAGAGGACATATGCATGCGTGTCCATGATTCCATTGATATGAAGTTCAAAAACAGGCAGAGCTAATCTGGGTGAAGGAAGACACTGGCCATCTTTTGGGCTCAGTGAAAGGAAGCGGGAAGCAGGGCTCAAGGACCGTAAAGAGCTGGCTTTGGTTCCCCAGAGCCCAGGAGCTCACGTACACAGGCGGGAGCCTCTGTGGGAAGGTAGGAATGTGCCTGGCAGAAAGAGAAGATTGCTTAGGAACCAGCCCTGCCTCCTTGACGACATCCCCACTGAGGAGTCCTGGGCTGTGTCACGCTTGGCCAGTGGGAAGGGAAAAAGGGATCTAGGCCTGATTCAGTTCCAGAGGGTCCCAGGGGCCACAAGATCCGATCCCCAGGGTGGCCACGCCCGTTATCTGCAGCGCACAGCTCTGTAGTTTCATCTTCTGAGGGATCTTGCTTTGCCTTAGCACTAGAAGGACCAGGAATGACATGTGGCAAAGGCTAAATCATCTTAAACGTAGGGCAAATGTTAATCCATGGGGCACTCGCACCATGGGTTATTTATCCAGCCGTGCAAGGTGAGACTTACGGAGTTTCAAAATAGGGAAGTTCTTATGCTAACAAAATATGTAGAAGGCAGAACTACATATAATATTAACCTATAGTAGCTGTGCAAAGAAAAAAGCCAGGAAGAAAACGAACCTTCCCGATGATTAGTTATCAGCTACTTATTTTCAAATCTCTTGCTTTAACCATCTGGCCATGACTACCTGCTAGCAACTTTTCTTAACTTTTCTTTAGGTCCAAGTCTTCTCTTAACATGAACTGTGTCCCCCCAAATTCATATGTTGCACTCCTAACCCTCAGTACCTCACAGTGTGACTATATGTGAAGACAGGGTCTTTAAAGAGGTAATTAAGTTAAAATGAGATCATTAGAGTGGCCCTAATCCAGTATGACTGGTATTTTTAGAAGAAGAGGAAATTTGGACATAGTTACAGAGGGAAGACCATGTGAAGACACAGGGAGAAGACGACCATCTGTGAGTCAAGGAGAAAGGCCTTAAAAAAACCCAACCCTTCCAACACCTTGATCGTGGATTTCTCGACTCCAGAATTGTGAAAAAGTAGGTTTCTGTTGTTTAAGCCACTTAGTTCACAGTACTTTGTTATGGCAGCCCTAGCAAATGTGCACCCATCTCAAGAGTCAGGAATCCCTCCCCTCATGAATCATTATTAATAGATAACATTTATATACTTTCTTATTTAATCTTTACCAAGCAACCTATGGAGTATATTTTTTAGTGTCCATTTTTTTAGATTGGGAATCTGAGAACTTAAACAAATTCATTCCAGTTTACACGGCCAGGAAATGGAAAAGCTAGAAGTAGTACTCAGATCTGTCTGAAGCCTGAGTCATTTTCTTACCCACTATAGTTATACAGTCATTCTGATATACCTGAGAGCCTTTTAATTTCTCCGTACCCCCCCACTACCTATTCTCCACCTCCCCCTGTGGAAATAACAGAGATTGATTTTTAGGTGCCAAGTGAAGCAGTGTGATATTTAGAGAGAAGCAGTAGAGGTGTGGGTAATAACAGTACCTCCTTATAGGGTTGTTGTGATGATTAAATGAGAATAAATGTAAAGGGCTTAGCATGGTGAATGGCCCATCAGAGGCATTTTGGAAGGGTTTCCTGTTCATAAGATTAATGGAGACAGAGACCCCATTCTTATGCAGGTGCCGATATTAACTTGATCCTGGGTAAGATACTATAATTCTCTGGGCCCCAGAATCCATTGTTTGCTGGAGCTTTGAGTCTGAGGCCTGCCTTCCCTTGGTTTGAAAGAAAGAAAAGCATGTTACTAGGTGTTCATGATGTAGTGGGACCAACACATCTTCTTGATGTATTATTAGTAAGAAGAGTAAGAAAAGCATAAAGGGAGCCGGGCGCGGTGGCTCACGCCTGTAATCCTAGCACTCTGGAGGCCGAGGCGGGCGGATTGCTCGAGTCAGGAGTTCGAAACCAGCCTGAGCAAGAGCGAGACCCCCGTCTCTTACTATAAATAGAAAGAAATTAATTGGCCAACTAGTATATATAGAAATTACCGGCATGGTGGCACATGCCTGTAGTCCCAGCTACTCGGGAGGCTGAGGCAGCAGGATTGCTTGAGTCCAGGAGTTTGAGGTTGCTGTGAGCTAGGCTGACGCCACGGCACTCACTCTAGCCTGGGCAACAAGCGAGACTCTGTCTCAAAAAAAAAAAAAAGAAAAGCATAAAGGAAACAGCTAAACTTACTAGATGATTCAGCATTTAAAGCTGTACCAAGGACCCATGTAAAAGTCCCTCAAAGATCTGTTAGTTGGAAACATCAGTGTTGATGTGGAACTTGAATTAACTTATTAGGAATTTATATTTTCTCATTTGGAAGATGGAAATTAGAACTCACTGAGCCACCATGAATATCATACAAGACAAAACCCAAGCATGGATTTGTAAACCCCTAGAAGTTCATACGGCATTATCCGCCATTTACCACGTGCGGAAACTAGGGCCCAGAGGTGAGAAGACTTGCCCAAAGTCAAATAGTTGATCAGTGGAATCAGAAGCCAGGATGGTCAGGGTCTAAAGCCACGTGATCCGGAACAGCTTTCATTCAAGAACTTCT